CGAACTACCATTACTCCTCGTAGAACTAGGTGTACCAGTAGTTCGAATTAGAGAGCCTAATTCGAACTACCTACTCAGTGCCGCGTGTAGCTGCGGGCACGGAGTCCGCATTAACGGGGATTTAAAAATGGTGGCGCCCGGCAAGATGCAAATGAAGCCCGAGATATTTAAATCCCGGGCTTCATTTGCAACTTCGAATGCCTACATTAGCCACCCTAGTTCGAACTAGGGTGGCAGTGTAGATATGCCCCTAGGGGGTCACAAAAGCCTCCATGCCACCCCATCCTGCCATGATTCCTAGTCAATGGGGGTGGAGCCTGCAAGTGAGCTCTTCCCTGCACTGCTATTCCCCCATCCAACAGGGAGGGGGAACAGCAGCATGTAGAGCCACTTCTTCCCTTTCCACATACTAGACAGAGCCAGCCATGCAGAGGCTTTAGTGCCAGCTTCCTGCTGTTTGTGTTCTAGCCATGCGGAGCGGTGCCAAGGTTTGGAGAGTTGCCACGCTGCTGTTGTGCTAGCACCAGCTCACCCTATGAAAAGGGGGATGCTCAAACCTTGCAAGCTGAGTCAAGGCCATAGTTTCCCCATTCCTGGCCTACACAAAGTTTTATATAAACAAAAAACAGTTGTTCGAATATCCACAGAAAAATGCAGAGAATGGTGCATGAACAGGATTCTGAGGGATTCTGCCCCTTCAAGAGACAGGCTAGTGCCAACACCTAAGGCAGCTTGGGGTGTAATCAACTTAGAAAAGGACTATGTAAACAGAAACAGGTGGCTGAGTGAGAGAGTCTGCACTGTATGTTGTGGTTCTTTTCTTTCAATGTCTAAGAAGCTTGTATGTTGTGGTTCTTTTCTTTCAATCTCTAAGAGTACGTCTACACTGCATGCTTATTTTGGAATAAGCTATTCCGGAAGATAGAGTGTCCACACTCCAGGGAAGCCTCAAAATTAGTCCAAGGCAGGCTTCTCTAATATGGGCATGCTACCTCAATTTAAAGCCCCAGGAAGCACTGGGAAGAAATTACTTAGAATGGCCCTGGGGAGGAGCTATTTCAAAATAGTAGCAGGGGAGCATCCACACATGCCCTATTTCGAAATAGCTATTTGGAAGAGGAGTTATTTCTCATGGAATGAGGTTTACAGAAGTTGCAACAAGCCGTCCATTATTTTTATGTTATTTCGAAATAACGGAATTGATGTGTAGACACTCGCATTGTTATTTCAGAATAACAGTTATTCTGAAATAACAGTGTAGATGCACCTAAGAGACCAGCCCAGACAAAGTCTTTGTTTTATTCACTTTAAGTTTGGGAGTTGAAAAAGGTTTCTGATATGAGGCCCTTATGGCCTGTTTTTATAATTACTCTTTCTGAAGCCTAATTATAGGAGGCTACCATATTTTGTTGAGTGGAGGGCATGGTGAGTTCTCCTTTCTCTTTGGCTGTTAAAGCAAACCAATTACCAAAGGGAAATTAAGATGAAGAACACTTGCAGTTCAACACTACCCCTCGGGGGGTAGTGCAGGGAATCTCTTCACCTCCACAGGGATAGAATTGAATAGTGAGTCAGTTTTCAAAATAATACCAGTGAATGAAATTTCTATAATATGAACTGTCTGAGTAGAGAGAATGAGGTGCTCTTCAGAACCTAGCACTATGTCAATCCTCTATGATTTCATTAAAAGCATGTGAGCTTTATTAATAAATTAAAGCTGAAAAGGAAAAATAAACCGGAGTTATAGCGCTTGCTGGTTCTTTGTTACATAACAAGAAAACTAAGTTTCTTATTTTTTAATTCAGCTTTTTTTTCCATTTGACAGTCTATTTTTTTCTGGTTTGCAAGCTTCTGGCTGGAGAATTAGTAAAATGATAGCATCACAAGAACTCAGAGTGATAACTGACTTAATGTGAGAGACAAGGATTTTTAATCAGATTTTTTTAAATGCTTTGAATCACATCATTTAAATTACAGGCATGTTGGAAAAGGAAACTGGTGTAAAAGATTAATTACCTTCATTTAAATGTGAGAATTACTATTGACCAGGAAAGATCAGAATTTATATTTTGAACGTTAAATCAAAGCAAACACTATACAGAGTTAAACTTTAAAAAAAGAACTTTGATGCATTTTATTCATCAAAAAGTATTAAAGGACATGAACCCAATTTGAAAACAAAAGATGGAATCTTGCCCCATAGAAGTCAGTGGTAAAACTGTCATTAACTTCAATAGGACCAGTATACCATCCAAAATTCTTTGCATCTCACTTAGGTCTCTCCAAATGTAATATTTTTAACTGATATATCTATTTTGCACTTTCAAGGTTAGATTAGAAATCTGCTCCCTGATATATCTATTTTGCACTTTCAAGGGAGCACTATTTAGTGGTTTTATAGGTCTCATATCTCACAGTTAGATTAGAAATCTGCTCTATATTTGAATCAAGGATAACAAGTGTTACTTCTAGAATTAAAAAAAAATAGTATGTGCCCGCAGCTAGACACGGCAGTTAAACGTTAATTCGAAGTAACTCCTTAGTTCAAATTAACTGTTACTCCTCATTCCACAAGGAATAACTGTTAATTCGAACAAAGGAGTTAGTTTGAATTAACGTTTAACTGCCACGTGTAGCCGCGGACAGTTAGTTCAGAATAAGGGGGATTTAAAAATGGCGGCGCCCGGGAACATGCAAATGAAGCCCGGGATATTTAAATCCTGGGCTTCATTTGCAACTCCGTTTGCCCTCATTTGCCTACCTCGCTCGAACTAATGAGCTAGTGTAGACATACCCTTACATACATTCTGCTACTTTTATTTATCTAGGCATATGTTTTCCTATCCATAGAAATAGTGAATTAAAAGGGCAAATGAGGAGAATTGGTACTTTTTTTTTTCCTGAGGAGACAGAAGTCTCCTGCCTTGTGCTTGCTCATTAGAATGGCTTCTTCCTCTCCTTGTAAGGATTGGGTCCTAGATTCTTTTGTTTTGATGCCTGGGGCCACCCCACAAGGTGACTCCTCACTGTGTCCAAGAAATAAGGCATGCTGTCTTTTGGGAAAATTAATAATACTTCTACTGCCTGCACACTGGGGGTGAGGTCAGAGATGAGAGCTGCAGCACTGGGAACATTGGCAGGTTTGAACAAAAAGGTTCCCCTTACTGCGTCTTCACCGTGACTAGAGCAGGGTCCTCTCCTAGATCCTCCCTGCGGAGGTCTCAGCTGGTTCTTAGTGGCTGGATCTCTGCCACTCTGTACACTGGTCTGTGCAAGGCCCTGTTGGGTGCAGTGAGAGTCAGTCAGAACTCCCTCAGCTCTTCCACTGCTTCGCTCTCAGCTTCTCCTGCTTGCCCCCTTCTGAAGGAGTTTCTAGCCCACTCTGTTCATACTGCCAACTCTAAGAAATGGTGTCAGAGGGCTCTGGTAGCCACTATTGTGTAATCCCTAGGGTAGGCTCTTCAAGAGGCTCAGTCTGGCATGCCAGGAGCTGGCCCACTCCACATGGCTGTTACATTTGTTTATATCTTTCATTCTTCACTTTCTGCATCCTACTTCTTTTCCTAGATCATCAGCTGTTTGAGATAGGAACTAGGGATGTTAAATATTGGTTAACTGAATAGTCGAGTAACCCAATAAATTCTTATTGGTTACTTGACTATTCTATAGTACCCTGAGGCGGGACCAGCAGCCAGCGCACTCCAGCCCCACTTCTGAGGAACCCCCTGCCACTCCGCTGTGCTGCCTCTGTATTACCCTGAGGCAGGACCAGCAGCCAGCGCACTCCAGCCCCACTTCTGAGGAGCCCCCTGCCACTCCGCTGCATCAGAGGCAGTAGCATGGTGTGCCAGGTGGGAGCTGGTCCATGAGAGGAGCCAGTTTAAAAAACAGCTCCCCTCGCAGACCAGCTACCTGTTGGCATGTGCTGCTGCCTCTGACACAGGGACAGCAGCTGCTGTCTGGGAGGGGAGCGTATCTGAGCTCCCAGACCCAACATAAGCTGGAACAGAGCCAGGCTGCCTGTCCGCATAGCTCTTAATACACTTTAAATGCAAAGCTGCAGCAGGAGTAGCTCCAGGACCCATTGTAAGCCAGGACTGAGTCAGGCTGCAGGCCAGCCTGCTAAAAAATTGACTGAAGGGGGAGCAGGGAGAAATGCATGTAGTCTCTAGCATTAATCTATAAGCTTTTGCTATCAGTTAATCAGTTAACTGACTACACTATTCCATCCCTAATATGGGCCATAGATGTGTTGTGTAAAAATTCTAGCACTGTGAAGGCCCCTGTTTGGAAAATACAAAATAATAAAACTCTGTGTCTGATTTGCTCAAAATGATATTGATAAATGGTCCAAATACTGCAAGATGCTGAGAACTCTTCCATCCCAGTGACTTCAGTGGGACCAGAAAGCACTCAGCATTTTGAAGGAGCAAGCCCATTAGCTAATAAAACAAAGGGTAGCTTTCCTGCTTTTTTAAATGCGTTATGTTACAGCTCACCAAGATGAGACTGATTAAAAAGTATGTGAAATGAGTCAATGTTGACAATGATTTTTCCCCTTCTCATAGCTTGAGGAGGGCACTAATTAAGAGTGTGTTTCCAGACATAAGACTGGAAGGCATTTGCTTCATGACACAAGGATCATCCTGATCAAAACTGAGTCATAGCATCTTGCAACTTTGTTTTACTTAATGGGAACAATGTAATAACATTCCGTACAGAAGCCTGGTTGAGCTCCCTACACTTTGCTCTGACAGCCAGTAATCACTGTGCACGCCAGTGAAAACATAAAACTTAGTGGTGGAATATGAAAGTATCATCTGATTTAGCAACTAACTTTTGGAAGTAAATGGCCAGTTGGAAGGGGGGAGAAGTAAAGTGGAATCACCATTATGAATGTGCATTTCATTAAAGGACCCCATGTCACTTTTCAGAGCAGGCTTGAAAAGCAGTAAGGCAAACTCTTCAAGGCAGGGCTTTCCTTGTCATTAACTTTACAGGAGGGAGAATTATTAACTCAGGACCAGACCATAATGTCCTTGTGGCAAATAGCACCTTCTTCCGTGAACAATCCCTACTGAAGTCATCAGAGTAAGATGATCCTGAAGGTAAGAATCTGTCCCATGGAGTAATATGTTACAGCACAAGGATTAAGCAGTCTATTTTAGGATTTCCATCATGTGGGACCCTTGCCTTGCCTTGGCCCTATTTAAAGAGGTTAACTTCATACAGTGGGAAAACGATAATCCAGCCATAATGTGGAGTCATTGCAGGGCAGGGCAGATGACAGTGCCAATGATGATTCACCTTGTCATCTAAACTTTGGGTTTTAGAACATGTTAGCCAAATTGTGGAAATGTCTGGCTTTCCTTAAAAATTACACATGACTAGAGTCATTAAAAACCTTTTAAGCAATTAAGGGCAGCCTAGCAAAATTCTTTTTGCCAGGAAAAAGTATTATTTTTAGTGCTGAGTCAACTATAATTACTCTACCATTATTGTCAATAATTAGCCTACAGAGTGCAGGGTCTCTGAAACATCTAAGCTTTTTGGAGTAGGGACTTGCAATCACTATAGAACAGTAGGGCTCTGATGTGGCTGCAGCTCTTAGGGCTACACGTACACAACATTACTTGCGGTAGAGAAGCTGTAAGCTGATAGGAGAGGCAGCAGCTATGTCCAAGGGAGAGGCTCTCTTGCCAACCTAGCGCATTTTACACTGGTGCTAAGGTCTGCATAATTTAGTCAACAGGGGTGTGAATTATTCACACCTGTGGACAATGTAAATGATTCCAAATAATCTGTAGTATAGTCAAGGTGGAGGTTCCTGTGTTTGAGCTGCAACTATGGGTTAGAATAATAGACTCATAAAATAATAGGCTGGAAGAGACTTCAGGAGGTCATTGAGTCCAACCCCCTGCTAAAAGCAGAACCAATCCCAACTAAATCCCCCCAGCCAGAGCTTTGTCAAGCCAGGACTTAAAAACCTCTAGGGATGGAGATTCCACCACCTCCCTAGGTAACCCATTCCAGTGTTTCACCACCCTCTTAATGAAATAGTTTTTCCTAATATCCAACCTACACCTCCCCCACTGCAACTTGAGACCATTGCTCCTACACAAGGAACTGACAAAGTTTGCAGATGATATTAAATTACTCAAAATGCTTAAATCTGAAACTCACTGCAAAGAGTTATGAAGGAATCTCATAAAATTAGGCAACAAAACTGCAGATGAAATTCAATGCTGATAAATGCAATGAAATGCACTTGAGCAAAAATAACCTCAATTGTATATACACAAAAAGATGGTATCCAAGTTAGTTGCTACTGCTCATGAAAGAGCTCTTGGAGTCACTGAGGATAGTTCTCTGAAAACATCTGTGTACCAGTATTCATATAAACTAACAATGATAGGAGCAATTAAATAAGATAAATAATGGGATAGGAAATATCATAATGCCACTATATAATTCCATGGTACAGTTTCTCCTTGCATACTGCATACAATTCTAATCCCCCATCCCAAAAAATCTAATAGAATTGGAAGAGCAACAGAGAAGGGCAAAACACACGATTAGGTGTATTGCACATTTTCCATACAAAGATTAAAATGTGTGGGACTGTTCATCTTAGAAAAGGTTTGCCTAATGATAAAGGTCTATAAAGGGCAGTATTATATACCCCTACATATAATTTCATTAGGTGACGTTGGTTTCCATTTAACAGACAGCTGGTATAACACCAACATAAAGAAGTTCTTCATGCAATGCACAGTCAACCCATATAATTTAGTTCCAGGGTAAGATTTGTAGGCTAAGAGTGTAATTGGATTTAAAAAGAATTAGCTCAGTTCATGGACGATAGCTCCTTCAATGGCTATTAACCTATATGGCGAGGGATGCAGCCCCATGCTCTGAGTGTCTCTAAACCTCTAAATGCCAGAAGATGGGACTGGATAGATTACTTGATGATTGCCCTATTCTGTTCTTTCCCTGAAATATCTGACATTGGCCGCAATCAGAAGACAGGATACTAGCTAGATGGACCATTGGTCTGACCCGAAATGGCTGTTCTTATGTTCTTCTTGCTACTGCTTAATTCAGTCTCAGCATCACACAGTTCCTACTGAAGGGGAATGATTGGATGGACATAAATAGAACAAATAGGTACCAAAGCACATAGTTGAAAACTGACAAATAAAATAGCCACAGGGTTTGGGAACATAAATAGAACAAATAGGTACCAAAGCGCACAGTTGAAAACTGACAAATAAAATAGCCCCAGGGTTTGGGGATTTTTCAGTTTTTCATACTGTATTAAAATAGCACTAGTCCCTTCCTAAGCAATAACGAGTAATAAATGGATCCAGACAGGAGGGATAAAAATGTGGGATTGACTCAAAGGAAAACTGGGATGTCATTCTTAGAATAAAGTAAACTTAATCATAGCAGAAGAAAATTTTGTCTAGATTCTTAAATGTATTTATTCCATACACCTCAGGAGGTATTTATAATAATAATGAAGACACTAAACATAAAAACAAAATGGAGAACTACAAAGCAAGCAGAGAGATGATCTTATTGTATTTCATTTCCATTCATTATGTAGGATTCAAGTTTAAAAGCACAACTGCATTCACATACAAATATCTAAGTACTGTTTAACTTGAGATACTGAATTTGCACACTTGTTAAAAACATATGTCTACTGTGTACCATTGTTCCATGTTGAGCAATTTTCTCCTCTACCTTTAGATTGGAATACTGAACTTCCCTTCAAACCTTTAGCAGCACCCGAACAGATTTGTACAGTAAACAACTGCATCATCTCTGACTCTGAAATGTGGGATTCAGCAACAGATTTATTGTCAAAGGTAAGTCCAACTAAATTTCCTGGGTTCAAAGTTCTCAGTGGGCAGAAGAATGAAATAGTAATCACTTTGTCCTATTAATTAACAGGCTTTGTAATGATGGGAATTGAAGTTTTTGCCTCAGCATGAGTTTACTTCCACAGAAAGATGGCAGTAAATGTACAGCCAGCTTTATTCCTTGTTGTATCTGTTTGCCTATTTTTTGTCTCAAAAATCAGATCTCATTCATTTTCCATTACAAATATTCAGATTGGTTGAAAACTTTACCAATTTGTAATTATATAGTTGTAAAAACATATCTAACAAGAAATCTTCTAATAATTTTGGGTGTGATTGAAAAACCATTGAAGTCAGTGGGGACTTCCTATTCATTGATTACAGAATGCCTTAGATCAGACCACGTGAGTATAAATTTAGAAGTTAGAAGACCCTAATTGAGAGTACTGAATAGTTTCAGAAAAATTCAAAATTCTCATATTAGTTGCTTTAAAAGGACTTTCAGAGTACGTCTACATTGCGGCGCTATTTTGGGATACTTCCTATAGCTATCCCGCATCTCTTAAACAAGCCCATTATTTTGAAATAGCTTTCGAAATAATAGGTTCACTATTCCAATGTCCTTTTAAACCTTGTTCCATGAATATTAAGGAATGTTTTGGAATAGTGGCTTATTTTTAAATTTGGTGCCTTTAAAACAGAAACTCACCTGAAATAAGCTATGCAATTTGCATAGCTCATATTGTAGAGCTTATTTCAAGCTACAGGTGCAGTGTAGACGCACCCTCAGTACTTTTATTTTATGATGCATAAAAGCATTGCTTATAATAATTATGTAAGTTAGGAGCTGTAACCAAATGCATCACTATATTTATACCCTATTTTCATAAATTTTGTACAAAATACACCTAAACTAATAATATCTCAGTTGTAAACTAATGTCTCAATTATATAAAAAATGTGCATAGCAACATATTATGTAAAGTTGTGAACATGAGCTGAAATCATGGTTGACTAGTTCAGTAGTTGTGGAAGAATATACCAGTTCTCCTGAGGATCTTTCAAAAAATTGCCTTGTTGTTGGAAAAACTGCATCTAAACCGTGGTTTCAGTTTCAAAATGGCGCTTGTTCGAAATAGCACCAGAGTGCAATTATGCAGATGAAGTGTGGGATATGTAAATCCCCACTTCATTTGCACTTTTGAAACGTCTAATTTACATCTCTCTGCTGACAGAGGGGGTGTAGTTTAGCCGTAGCCTATGATGGGTGTCTCGAGGCCACAGTCCACCACAATGGGTGGGGAAACGGATTCCTCACCCCCAGGATCTGATGGAGCTCCTGGTAATAGGGGCAGGTGTGGAGTCCTGCCCCTGAGTGTGAGGTGGGCTCTCTGGCCCTGACGTATCCCTGGCGGAGCTCCTTTACCTTACTCTGGACCTGTTCCAAGGTCTGGGTTGGGTGTCCATGCTCTGCCACGGACTTGGCCATGCACTCAAATATATCAGCATTCCACTGCTTGGAGTGGAGATCCTGGAGTGTCTCCTCCTCGCCCCACAGCTTGAGGGAGGAATAGGATCTCTGCTCTGGACCAGGAGGATACCCACATTTTGGTCCCCCCTGGGTGGGTCCTAGGACCACTGGGGCTGCTCTCTGCGAGGGTCAGGGAGACCCCAGGGCACCTCAGGCTGGGCCATGGGTGGCAAGGCCTGTAGCAGAGAGCCATGCAGTCAGGGTGCTGCTCTCAGGCCAGCTTCCTGCCATAAGGCTTGTCCAGGGTGCCTGCAGCTTTAAGAGCTGGCAGGAGAAAGGAACTATAGAGTTGTGATTAGTATGGAAAGAGCATCCACCAGGGCACCTGTGTTATTTTGGAGGCCTTATTCCAAAAGAAAACCCTTCTCCTCATCCACACACCATTTTCTGAAAGAGCTCTTTCGGAAAAAAGGCTTCTTCCTCACAGAAAGAGGATTACCAATGCTGGAAAAACCCCTCTGCTCTTTCAATTTGCTTTCGAAACAACGCAATTGCAGTGTTGACGTAACTCAGGTTTTGTCAGAAAAATGGACGTTTTTCTGACAAAACTCTGTAGACTAGACATACCCATAGAAAGATAAGTTCTAATATGTCTGTCATTTTCAGGAGTGTCAGAGGAGTAACTGTGTTAGTCTGTAACTGAAAAAATGCCCATGGAAGCTCATGATATGATCTACATTTTTGTTAGTCTCTAAGATGCTGCAGGACCATTCATTGTTTTTTAAGTCTCTTCGGGTATGTCTACACTACCCCGCTAGTTCGAACTAGGGTGGTAATGTAGGCATACCGCACTTGCAAATGAAGCCCGGGATTTGAATTTCCCGGGCTTCATTTGCATAAGCCGGCCGGCGCCATTTTTAAATGCCGGCTTGTTCGAACCCCGTGCCACGCGGCTACACGCGGCAC